AAATGTTGATGGAAAGATTTCTAAATTAGAGTTTACATGAATTGCTATATATATTTTTATATTAGTGTTTTTTTCAAATCAACCCACTTTGATCTTGACCCCGCTCAGATTTGACCTTAATTTGTCTGAATTAAACTGTATTTTTCCAAACTAAGGTCAAATTAAAAGCTACCGTTCTGCATAAACTGACTGTAAACAGGTCTAAACTGACAAGACAATGGGACTGACTACTTAGAAAAGTTTTTGAAAAGCATCAAACTGAACAAACAACAGAAAAGCTAAAGAAAGTCACCAAATTCGATTAGCTGAGACAACCATTGCATAATCACGTTTAGTTTTTTTTGTGAGACACTTTTAAGCAATTCCACTAACTTGAAAAACACCTTATTATTTTAGCTTAATTAGAAGCATGGTGAAAGCAGGCTTTTCATTCAGAAGCGGAGAAATTAATTATGTCCTCAGCCATGACGGGCTAAAGCAAGGCCCGAGGGGGGCTGTTGATATTAAAGGCAAGGAGACAGGGAGCAGGCGAATTGGACTTGGGAGGAATAAGTAAGAAGTATTTTTTTTGAAAAGGGAAATCATGCAAACACACACAGAGAGGGTTTACTTCTTTGTTATTGCAAGCGAGTGACTAACACAGGCACATCTTTCGGCGATAGATACGTTTGAGCACTCACATGTCACAAATGCACGCAAAGGAGAGATCACATTCGCTATATTTGTTCTCCCTGCAGATTAAGTCCAAAGGGATGGAGGAGCTGGATGGGTCACGCAGCAACAGGCCACAAGGGAATACTAAAAGACAGATAGGGTCTGTAGGTTTAGAAAAGAGGACAGAAACGAATAGGACAGTCAGCCGAGGAAACCCAAGGCTCGACTGAAAGGAACGTGGTGAGAGAGAAGGGACAAAAAGAAGAAAGCCCAAGCCTCAAGCAGGAGGTAGCTGGGATGGAGGATGAGCCAAGAGACAAGATAAGGCCACAGAAAGGAGGAAAGTGACACAGGAGGAGATGTGGAAGAATACAAGTTGGGGGGGGGGGGGGATAGCACAGAGGAAGAGCAAGAAACTACTGTCTTGTCAGTAGAGAAACAGGTGGGGAAAAAAGGAGCGCCTTTAGGAATCAACAGAAAAGGTGAAGGGGGGATAGAAAGATGTGCAAAGTGAAGGAGAGGAGGAGCAGACCATTGCGGAGAGGCATCCGTTAAAGGAGAGCAACCTTGTGAAGTCTGTGTGGGCTGCGCTGCTTTTTTAGAATGTCGGGGAAAAAAAAATTAGGATATGTTTCTTGGTGAGAAAAGAGAGACGGAGGGAGAGATGGAAAGATGGAGGGAAAGAGAGCGACAGGAAAGAGAGACGGAGATGAAGAGATAGAGTCAAGAGAAAACACGGCAGAGAATGAGTGAAGGTTGTTCTCCAGCGTCTAAACGGTGCAGTGAGATGTGTGCTCGATGTGGCCCTGAAGGCACACCGCCTCTGCTAACACAGACACATCAAACACACACACACACACACACACACACACACACACACACACACACACACACACAC